TCCCTTTTTCTTGCAGAGTGATTCTGCGTGTGTAGTGTTTTTACAAATAACTGCACCACACTTTTCTGTAACACTTTCGTGCCCTGTATCCCTTTATTCCACACTTGAAGCACGTAAGGTTACATCTCCATCTTTTCTGTTACTGTTCGGTTTGCTTTGGCCTCCGCTCTGTCTTACATGTGTCTTCATCACGTTATCTGTACTTGGTTCTGTCATTTTCATTTTTTCAGATTCTTCATAAACACGTAGTCTTCTTTTGAAGTCTGCAAACGTAACATTATCTTCATTTTGTGTCACATGGACGGCTAGCAGCTTGAAACCGTCTGGTAGACCGCCTAGCACCATGGCTACGATTAATCCATCACTCATGGTTTCTCCTGCTTCTCTTAATGCTGTAATGATGTTCTCTGCTCTTATTAAATAATCTGAAACTGTCTCGTTTTCTTCCATCCGTAGCTTTGTTAAGGCTGTGTACATATTTATGATTCTTGGCTTACTTTTGCCCGCATAATGCTCTTTAAGTATCTGTAGGGCTTTTCTGCCATCATCAGTAGCCTCATGTCTGATAGGCTTTTGTCATCAATTAGTCGTACCAGTTCAGCGTAACAGTCAGCATTCTTCCGTCTGTCCTCGTCGTTTGCCTCGACTGGCTCATTCAAAATTGTCTCTTTTAGTTTCAGTATGTGTAGGCAACTTAAGAACCGCGTTTCCCAAAGGTCGTATTTCTCCTCAGACCCGTCGAATAAAAGCTGCGGTGCTGGAACTCCGGTTGCTCGGCTAGCCATCTTTTCTTCCCGCCAACTTCTCCTCCTCAGTTCTTAACTTAATCGCGTAATACATCGCGTTTAACTTTACTTTTACTTTACTCACGCTCGCTTATCTTCAACCCTGGGCCCATAACCTGTTAAGGGTATCTGACTCGCGTAGACTTAACGTGGTGAAAAGAAAGCGGGGCGTGTATTTCTCAGTTCAACCTTTTATTATCACACTGCACTCTTTCTTGAATCATATATATCTGTTTTTTTTACCAAAAAATGCGTGCATACGTCACACGTCACCTCAAGGAAGCTGAACCAATCAAACCATTACAGTTTAATACAACATTAATAAGAGCGTTATTCCACAACTACATTCAACAATGCTAATATCGCGGAGAAAGCTAGTTCCCTGTCCGGCTACTTTCTTTACCATGTGCGTGTCTTTAGCGCGGGTGTCTTTACCATGGGCGTGTCTTTACCACGGGCGTGTCTTTACCACGGGCGTGTCTTTAGCGTGTCTTTAGCCGTGCGTGTCTTTAAAGCGCGGGTGTCTTTTGTCTTTAGCGGGGCGTGTCTTTATGTCTTTAGCGGCGGGCGTGTCTTTAGCGCAGTGTCTTTACATGGGCGTGTCTTTACCACGGGCGTGTCTTTACCGCGGGCGTGTCTTTAACACGGGCGTGTCTTTAACTTTGTCTTTAACGCGCGTGTCTTTATGGCGCGGCTTTAGCGCGGGCGTGTCTTTAAAGGCGCGTGTCTTTAGCGCGGGCGTGAGCGTGTCTTAACAGGCGTGTCTTTAGCGCGGTGTCTTTACAGGCGCGTGGGCGTGTCTTTAGCGCGGCCGTGTCTTTACCACGGGCGTGTCTTTACCACGGGCGTGTCTTTAACGTCATGTCTTTAGCGCGGGTGTCTTTAGCGCGGGCGTGTCCGCGCGTGTCTTTGATGGGGCGTGTCTTTGTCTGTCCTTTACATGGGCGGTCTTTAACATGGCGTGTCTTTAACATGGCGTGTCTTTAACATGGGCGTGTCTTTACCATGGGCGTGTCTTTAACATGGGCGTGTCTTTAACATGGGCGTGTCTTTAACCTTTATGGGGCGTGTCTTTAACGGGCTTTAACATGGTGTCTTTAACATGGGGCGTGTCTTTATGGCGTGTCTTTACTTTACATGGGCGTGTCTTTACATGGGGTGTCTTTACCATGGGCGGGCGTGTCTTTACATGGGGGTGTCTTATGTCTTTACCATGAGCGTGTCTTTACGCATGAGCGTGTCTTTAGTGGGGCGTGTCGTGTCTTTACCATGAGCGTGTCGTGTCTTTACCATGAGCGGTGTCTTTACCATGAGCGTGTCTTTATGGGCGTGTCTTTTTACATGATGTCCATGGCGTGTCTTTACATGGGCGTGTCTTTAACATGGGCCGTGTCTTTACATGAGCGTGTCTTTACATGCGTGTCTTTAACGTGTCTTTACCATGAACATGCGTGTCTTTACCATGAGCGTGTCTTTACCATGAGCGTGTCTTTAACATGCATGTCTGCGTGTCTTTACATGGCGTGTCTTTACATGAGCGTGTCTTTAAACATGGTGGTCTTTACATGGGCGTGTCTTTAACATGGGCGTGGTCTTTAACATGGGCGTGTCTTTAAATGGCGTGTCTTTAAACATGGCGTGTCTTAGCACGGGCCTGTCTTTACATGGGCGTGTCTTTACATTGTGCGTGGGCGTGTCTTTTTAACATGGGCGTGTCTTTATGTCTTTACACGCGTGTCTTTACCGGTGTCTTTAGCGCGGGGTGTGTCTTAGCACGGGCGTGTCTTTAACACGGGCGTGTCTTTAACACGGGCGTGTCTTAACATGGGGTGTCTTTAAACGTGTCGGCGTTTTTTACATGGGCGTGTCTTTAACGGGGCGTGTCTTTAACATGGGCGTGTCTTTAACGCGGGCGTGTCTTTAGCGCGGGCGTGTCTTTAACACGGGCGTGTCTTTAACATGGGCGTGTCTTTAACATGGGCGTGTCTTTAACATGGGCGTGTCTTTAACATGGGCGTGTCTTTACCATGAGCGTGTCTTTAGCTGCTGCTGCTGGGCGCCTACCACCTCTGTCAGGTGCACACCTGTCACTCCCGTCGGTTGGTGGTCCAAAAGCAAACGCACATTCAGCCCCTTCGATTGTTTTGCGTCAGGATTAAAAGAATACTTTACTTGTAAGTGAAGATAAGATCTGAGGAGTCTGTGTGAGGCTGTGTGTTGTAAATGTGTTTTGAAGCTACTTTTGGTTGTTTCTCGTTATTTAGCTCTTAGCTGCTCTAACTCCACATAAACAGTTATATTGTTCTAGTATAAAGTGACTCTAGTGTGTGCACATGTGACTGGCATATGCTGGTTTCTTGATGGTGCATGTAAACGCAGTAACCCGGTTTCAGTGTTGCGGTTATTAGAAACTGGGAAACTGTAGCTGGTTTATTCCAATAGTAACCGGGAGACTGTGACATGTAAACGCAGTGTCCCGGTTACTGCAACATAAAGTTGAGTCACATGCGTCCAAAAGACAAACACTTTCCTGTCTTTTCACCACAACAGTAGCGACATAAATAAAGTGACCAACATAAAGTGACCACACGAGTAAAATGACTGTAAATTGTGAACGATTGTAAACGATAGTACGTGCGCTAAACCTGTACACGTACAATCTGCACTTGTATGACCTGCACTCATGTGACGCTGAAAAACTAAAACATGAACTATCTCCTATACAACACACACACAAAACAGACTCACCATCATCAGCACCTCTTCTGTCACAAAAACAACACACATAATTAGAGCC